GATGGCAATAGGATGAATGTAAAGCTAATGTTCTCCAATGTAAACTATCACATAATTCACAATAAAACATTAAAAAAAAAAAGCAAGTAGGAGTCCTGGTGTGGCACTGTAGGATAATGCTGGACTGCTGACCACAAGATTAGCGGTTCAAACCCACCAGCTGCTTTTGGAAACGCTATACAGGGTCGCTATAAGTTGGAACCAACTCGATGGCACTTAATAACACGAATCATCTCTAAGTCAGATTTTCGTAACTGGAAGGGTACCTGTAAAATGATAAGGGCATCATGGTGGTGATGGTGATGTGCCATGGAGTCGATTCTGAATCACAGTGAACCTGTATAGGGTTTCTGAGGCTGTATATCTTTACGGGAGCAGAAAACGTCATCTTTCTCCCTCAGAACTGCTGGTGGTTTCGAGCTACAGACCATGAGATTAGCAGCCTGACTCGTAACCACTAATGCTATAAGGGTGTAAAGGGAGGAGGCAAAGTGTGTCTGGGAAGTCCAAAATAGCTTAGTGCAGCTGGAAAAGTAGGCAAATATTACATCATAAAGGATTGGCAGGTTACCCTACAAAGTTAAAAATTTATCCTATGGACTAATTAACCAATGGAAAGTTTTTAAACAGGCAAGCGAACACACACAGATTTTTAAAATGAAATATAAATGTAGAAAAAGGTAGAGGATGAGCTGAAAAAGCAGCAAGATTAAATCTGGGAGCCTGGATAGGGGACCATTACAGCAGACAAAAGTTGAGGAGACAGAGATTATAAGAGAGCTTAATTGAAAAATAAGAGGACCGTGATTACAGACAAATTCTAAAAAGGCTCAGACAGACATCATACAATATGGGGGTGAAAAAGGAAGAATCACAGGTAAATTTCAGGTTTCAGAATCAGATGACAGGGTTAGAAAGTAGGGAATTCAGAGAAAGGAAAAGACTTATTTAGTATCAGGCATGTTGAACTTGACATGCCAGTTGAGATACAGTTAGGTCTATGGATCTTGAGCACAGGGAAATGCCAGGAGGAGACACTAGCATTTAGTAGATATACAAATGTAGGTAGAAATAGTTTGGGGGACTGTGTGTGTACATGGGGTGTCAGTAGGGCACAATATCCAGGAAACCCAGCAGCAGTACAAAACCAAAGGTAACCTTAAATATAAATTAGAAGATGCAGCTCGGCAGATAAAGAACCAAGAGTAGAAGAGAGGAAAATCTGAAAAGGAGCGTGGAAACTGTCACATTTTAAAGGATGGAAGATAGCACTGTAGTGAGAATTAAAGATTAAAACTCATTTATGATCTTTGCTAAAGAACTTTTGCTGGTGACTATAGTCTATATTCAGATTACAGTGGACTTAGGAAGAATGAGATGTGAAGAATACTTAGTATTTTTTAAGTGCTTACTATGTACCTGCACCATAATTAGTGCATTGCTTTCCTGGTGCTGTAGGATCAGCACTGGACTGCGAACCACAAGGTCATCAGTTCAAACCCTCCATATGCTCCTTGGAAACCCTACACCGGGTTGTTATGAGTTAGAACCAACTCAAAGGCATTAAAAAGAATAATAACGCTGAGATAGTAAACATTAAGATTATTAAAGATGAAAAAACAAACCCTAAGACCCAAACAGGTAAATAATCTAGTCAGTGGCAGAACCAGGTCAAACTCTGGGTTTTTAAACTTCTAAGTTAAATGTGTCCAACTCCCCTATATTACATGCACTGTTAGTACGGAAAATGTGGCTGTGAAACGAGAAAATATTAGTCAAGACATGGGTAGTGGTGAACTGGTTATAATGTGTTAAAACAAATGGAAGAGGTTAAGCAGGTTTATGTGTTCATGGAAAAACTAAGGGAGAGGCTGAAGAGGGAGATGACCTGAAGGAAAGGAAGCGTATACATGATGGGAGAGAAGGGGATGTGATCTAGGGCAGTGCCTCCAAAGCTGTTGTATGGTAGTAAGGGAGGGAACAAGAATTCGAGCTCTTCCACATTGCTTATAAAGTGTCAGAGATTGTTCTTTCTGTTATGGGTAAATGAAAAAAAACCCAGTTGCTTCCTTTCATAATGGACATTTCAAACAAAAGAAAATAAAACAAAAATAAACAACTAAAAATTTAACAGTACCATGTAGACATCAAACTCATCCAGGCATCTGAAAGGAGATTCAGCAATGGACCACAGAGAAAGAATGAAGCACACTGTGGAAAAAGAACGTTCACCTCCAGATAAGGCTCTCATGTCGTTGAAGGCAGTTTTACTTCCCTCTCCAGGCTGAACCTTGAATAAAATGATATAACAAGGAACACAAAACTAAGTCAGATTATGTTCTTTATAACATGAGTTAGCTAGTATTAGAAAGAATGGATTTATAGTAAAACAAAAACAAAAACCACATAATGATTATAAGAAACCATCTAGTGATGTGACAATTGACATCTTGTGTTGACTGCCTTCAATTGGTTCTGATTCACAGTAAACCTGTACAGGGTTTCCAAGGAGCTGTTGGTGAGCTTGACCCTCCGACCCTGCGGTTCAAACCGACGTCGCAGTCCAGTGAGTTAACCCGCAGCGACACACCAGGACTCCTGAAAATGACATCTAGTCTTTCTAAAATATGTCATAACAAGAGTAAGCTATATAATGATTGTTTGTTTGGCTGAAAATCAAATTGAAAATCTATTTCTTACCATAATCCAATCTAATAATATATAAAAATTCCAAAGGTTTATAAAGCAATTTACTAATTGCTAATGTTAGATAAACATAAATGATCAAAATTAGAATTTAAGCTAGACCAATTATAGCTGTTATAGTTTGAAACATTTTTAAAAATGTTAAGGTTATCTTTTGTTACTGGAATTAGAGTGACATCTAGTGGTTACACAGTTTTATTTTTAAAAAATGACTGAACATCAAAAGATCAAGTTGAAGAGGCTGGAAGTGGCCAAATAATAACAGCAGGATTGCATGGAAGTATATGAATATCTTAAAAAGCCATGAATTTGTAATGATACTCCCTTAAAAATGTCTTTTTACATAGGAACAGTAAAAACTATTAAAATCAGTTAACAAACTGTTTCACATAATCCTGAGAAAATATCATTATGAGTAAATGCTATTTCCTTTTGACAGAATGCCAGATATGAACACATAACTGCAGTCCTGGTGTGGTGCTGTAGGATAAGTAATTAACTGCTAACCACATGGTCAGTGGTTCAAACCCACCAGCTACTCCTCAGAAACCCTATACAGGTTGCTATGAGTTGGAACAGACTCAGTGGCACACAACCATCACCACCACCACCGTCCACGAGTGGACATTTACTTGATATTTTAAGGGTTGGGACAACAGGCTGCACATGTAGGCCCACTGCATGTATAAATTTAAGTGGCACGGCCTGTGATGCATTGATCTCCAGATTTGATGCCAACAGCGCAGAAAATGATCCCCTCTTCAAAAACAACGTACGTTTTGAGAGCAACAACATCAGACTTTTTCTCTATGAGCAGCTCACAATCCAACAGTGTTACCTGAGTACTTGCCATAATTCTTTCTGTTTCCCTAGGGCTGGTAACTCTGGGTGATCAAATAGGAAAGCATGTTCAAGGCCAACAAATAAATCAAGATATTTGAGGCTGATACCATGGAAGTTTGGGGTGTACTTAATTATTACAAAGGAAACAAATTTGATGCTCTTCAGCTACAGAGAAGAGCTTAATGTTCCATATGACCCCAAGGAAAAGAAAATGTGATCTCTTTCTCTAATAAAAGTGTCTATTGACTAATAAGATTTGCCAAATAAAGCCCTTTGACTTATGAGTTGTAAAAAAGAGAATTTCCATAACAAATATTTTTTAAGGGTTATGTTGTTGCTGGTAAAGCGCTGTCGAGTTGGTACTGACTCATAGTGACCCTGTATAGGGTTTTCAAGGAGTGGCTGGTGAGCTTGAACCACTGACCTTGCGGTTTAAACTGACTTTGCAGTCCAGCGCATTAACCCACAGTGCCACACCAGGACTCTTTTAAGGGTTATAAACATTCTGAATTTCAAAAAATACACTGAAATTTATAATTTTCTGTGGAAACTCAAAAGAAAACATGATTAACCTAAACAGTAAAAAAAAACAAAGCAAAGCAAACGAAAAAAAAAAAAAAACACACCCAAAAACCCATAAAATCAAAACTTAAATGCCAGGATGCAATACTTTGTTCTAAACTGCATTTCCTGAAAATCTAACAAATGAAGTCTTAGATATAAACTGAAGAGATTTATATTTTACCCCTGGTCAATTACTAATTTATTAATTTACCTCATATCAGTTCCTTATCTGTAAAAGGAGACTAAGTAAGTAACATAGAATCTTTGCTACATATATGAGGGCTTCTAAAAATTCATGGAAAAATGGAATTAAGATAGGGGAATTTTTAGGTGAGTAGTGTCAGAAAAACAAAAATCCTCACCACTGGACCAATAAACAACATTCTTATCAACGGACAAAAGACTGAAGTTGTCAAGGACTTCATTCTTCTTGGATCAACTATCAATACTCGCGGAAGCAGCAGTCAAGAGATCAGACGACGTATTGCATTGGGCCAATCTGCTGCACAGTAACTTTTTAAAGTGTTGAGGAACAGAGATGTTAGCTTGAGGACTAAGGTGCGCCTGACCCAAGCCATGATATTTTCAATAACCTCATATGGATGTGAAAGCTGGACAGTGAATAAGGAAGATCGTAGAAGAATTGATGCCTTTGAGTTGTGGTGTTGGAGGAGAATACTGAAAGTGCCATGGACTGCCAAAAGAACCAATAGATCTGTTTTGGAAGAAGTGCAGCCAGAGTGCTCCTTGGAGGCCAGGATGGCTAAGCTTCGTCTCTCATACTTTGGACATATTGTCAGGAGGAAACAGTGGCTGGAGAAGGATGTCATGATGGGTAAGGTGGAGGGTCAGAGAAAAAGAGGAAGACCCCTAACGAGATGGATCAGCCAGGTGGCATCATTGATGGCGTCAAGTGTGGCAGCGGTAGTGAGGTTGGCCCAGGAGCGGACATTGTTTTGTGCTGCTGTGCATGGGGTTGCTATGAGTCGGTTCCGACTTGATGGCACCTGACAACACAAGTGTCTGGGATCCTAAAAGCTCTAAAGTACAACCATTAGTCTTCATGTGTGAAAGAAAAGAAGAGTGATGAGGACTTGGAATCAATTAGTTATCAGTCTTCACCACTCTGAAACCAGATGCAACTAGTCCCAACTACCACTACCAACTGCTCTGAATGGGATGGCAAAAATACAGTGGCAGAAAATGTAGAATAAAATTCAAAATTACTAAAAAGATTGGATGAACCCTAGAATATGGCCTTCAACTTCCCTTTAAGTCTGTGAAAGAAATCACCGTTGTGGTAGACAGGTATGTAGGAATGAAAACAATGGTGAGGTATGCTCACCATGGAATTATCAATCATTCAAAATCAAAAGGGCAACATTTACCTAAGGACAAAGTTGAGAGGAGATGGGAAGGTGGGTGGAATGGGAATAGGAAGCACAGGGAGGGAGTGGGATAAATGTTGTTGCGTGCATGTTGCTAAACTCAGTTTAGTAATCATTCAGTTGAAGCTAGGTGTGTGATTTGTTGAATGTAAAACTTATGGGTCACACAATTCACAATAAAAAGGTAAAAAAAAAAAAAAGATAATGGAATTTTTCTGTGATCTTTTTGAAGCCCCCTTGTACACATTTTATTCAGGTAAAAATACACATAACATTTGTATAAACTTTACCCAATACAAACCAAATTGAATTTATAGATCATTTTCTAAACTGGTATTTATATATAACATTCCAACCTTTAAAATTTGTTTTATTGTGGTGAAATGTATATGACAAAGTATTTGCCATTTCCACCATTTTTATAAACATAACTTTAATTATATTCATCATGTTGTACAGCCATCACTAGTATTCATTTGCAAATTTTCCTATCACCCTTAACAGAGACTTGGCCTTAAACAATAACTCTCACTTCATCCCAATCCTAGAAAGCACTAATAAACTTCTGTTTATATGTGCCTTAGTTATCTAGTGCAGCTATAACAGAAATACTACAAGTGGAGGGCTTTCACAAACAGAAATTTATTTTCTCACAGTTTAGGAGCTAAACATCCAAATTCAGGATGTCAGCTCTAGACAAAGACTTTTTCATCTTTATCAACTCTGGGGGAAGGACCTTGTCTCTTCAGCTTCTGATTCCTTAGAGATCACCATGAGGCATTTATATCCCCATTCCCCCACCCCAACCTGCTTGTCTAATGTCTTTTCTAGATCAAAAGAAATGGACTCAAAACATATCCCACAGAATTTCGACTCATTAACATAATACAAAGCAACCGATTCTCAAATGGGATTATAATCACAGGCAATAGATGCTGGAGTTTGCAGCACTTATTCTGGGAGGACAGAATTCAATCCCTATCAGTATGCATATGTTTATTATAGATATTTCTTGTAAAGGGATCTTAGTTCTTTTATGTCTGACTTACTTCATTAGTACAATGTTTTCAAGGTTCATCCATGCCATATTGTTGGTTCTGACTCATAGTGACCCTGCATAGGGTTTCCATGGTGGGTTTGAACTGTTAACCTTGTGGTTCACAGTCCAGTGCTGATCCTACAGCACCACACCAGGAGTATAGACTAGTTCTACTCTTAATTCCTGGAGTTGCCAAGAGTCAGAATCTGTTTAATAGAAATCTGTTTAGTAGAAAAACAGATGAATGGATAAACAAAATATGGAATGTTCATACAATGGAGTATCCATCAACCTTAAAACAGAAATGAAGTTTTGATACATGATGTAGTGCTGTGGGTTAATGTGTTGGACTGCAAAGTCAGTTTGAATGGCAAGGTAGGTGGTTCAAACCAATCTTACAGCCCAGCGCATTAACACGCAGCAGCTCTGTGCCAGGACTCCAACATTAGGTGGGTTCAAATTGCCAACTTATTTGGGTTAATAGCACAAACAGTTTTCATTACCCAGGGACCTTGATAAGCAACTTAACGTGGTAACATTTTGTATTTCTTTGATGATTACTGGTTTTGAAAACTTTTTAATGTGCTTATAGTGTAAGCACGGGGCTGTAAATCACAAGGTAAGATGTTCAGGCTCATTAGTCACTCTGAGGGAGAAAGATGAGGCTTTCTGCTCCTGCTGAGATTTACAGCCTTAGAAACCCTATTCGGAACCAATTTGGCTATCTTAAAAAAATTACTATTTAAGTTC